CCCCCAACGACCCTAACGCCTTGAACGGAGCCTACAACACCCTCAACAACTTTTCAGAAGCCTAAGCCCTAAACCCCTAAACCCTAAGCCCCTAAACCCTAAACCCCAAACCCCTAAACCCCAGACCCTAAAGCCTTAAACCCTAAACCCTAAACCCATAGACCCTAAACCGCTAGAGTCCTAGAGTCCTGAGGCGAAGCCGGGCCCTTCACGGCAGCCGTGGGTGCACCGGGCGGAAACTGCAGCCTGGTCTTCGAGGGAGGCCGAGGGCTGTGCAGACAGATCTTTGCGTACATCTACAGTGCGCACATGCATGCGGATATATATATATATATATGTACACACACATACGGCGCAATGTATATCTTTCGGCAAATAAATATCTACATATATACATATATATATATACACTCTATATCTATATCTATATATATCTATCTATCTATATATATATATATACGCACTATATATAGGCATATATATATATATATATTTGTGTATACACACACACAGAGAGATATAGGCAGATATGTATACAATTGTATACATGTGCAAAAGAAGTAATAGCAGAGGATGGTGAACCGATGCGTAAAGCCTTGCAAGCACGCATGGATGGATGCATGGATGGATGGCTATGCTTCTGGCCAAGAGATCGCCCCTGAAGGCTGTGGCCCCAACTTTGGCCATGGGCGAAGCCTTCCCTAGGTGCTTTCTTAGGGCCCCGCTTGCGCTTGTATGATATAAACATATATATATATACATACATATAAGCATATATGTACATGTATATATATATATACATATCTATCTATCTATCTATCTATCTATCTATACACATATGATAACCCCCCTCATCCATAATAGCTTTGTAAGCCTTAAGTGAGAAAACCTCGGCAGGGATCGAACTCCAACAAAATTCTCATTGCCTCCGCGATGGGCGACCGCACTCCGAGTACTCGCGGACGATCGAGTACCCTCGAGCATGCTCGAGTACGCTCGAGCACGCTCGAGTACGATGCCAGCATTTTACGGGTTTTGCGGAGATTCGATCGCTGCCAATCTTGCCGCACTTCAGTTTACAAATTTGGGGGGAACATCGGCAAAGATCACATTCCCTTACCAAAACTGAGCATTGACGGCCTTATAAATGTCAGGATTTTGGGTTTTGATCGCTGCCGATGTTGTTTGGCATTTCAGGCTTTACAAATTTTGGGAAAATTGGAGCTTCTTCGAGCACTTGGGCAACTTCAGATGCCAAAACAGCTACAGGGATCAATCGCAAGATTCCACACGTTCACCAAAGCTGACAACTGATGGCCCTATAGAATTCGATACTTGCGGAGGGCTTGCATGTCAAGCTTTAGGATTTTTGGTATTTTGCTCCTTTGGTTGCATCTTCATCAACCAAGATGAGCGACCTAAACATAGTCATTGTGGTCGTCATAACAGCTATAGTAACATCAGTAGTATCAGTCGAAAACATGTTGTTCAAATTAATTGTTGTTTTTGCTTTATACTCCTACTACTAGTCAAGATCAAGCGTGCTTCAATAGTTTTTTGCTTTCTCTCTAGAGCATAATGAGAAACGTATTGTTTCCACCTTTGCTACGTGGCGACGAAAGGAGTGTCAGGAAGGCAGACATTTTACGTTTACCACTGGTGGTACGCTGCAACGGAGCTCTATGTACATGCATGAATGCATCCATGCATACATGCATACAGACATCCAGACAGACACACATAACAGATACATGCATGCAGACATACAATCACGTGCAGATATGATGTGTGTGCATGTGGAATGTTTCGCGTGCAAGAATGCCAAATGCTCCAGCGCCAAGCACTACAAAATGACAATGTCGGGACGGGGGATGCAGTAGATGCAGCAGCGAACTGCTTGGGTTCGCGAGCCTGCACAGGATTACCGACGACCACGACAACCACAACGAGAACTCTCAGCAGTACCAGCAGCAGTAGCAGCTCTCTGAGTTCCACCAGCACCAGTACCACCTCGCAGACCACCTCCAGTACCACTTCCAGGCCTGGTGGGATTGGGAGGTTTAAATTGCCTTTTCGCACGTTTTGGAAGGTCTTCGACCGTAACCTCGACGATCTCCATCACTTCAACGACGACGGTGTCGAAATCCTCCACCACCACCACCAGCGCCTCACCGAGTCCCAAGCAAAGCGAAGAAAGTGTTTCCTCCAGGCCTCGAGCTGCGAAGTTGCTGAGGCAGCGCCACGACATCGCGGACCAGCACGAGAACGACAAGTGCCCGCCTCTGAACCGAACCCACATGCATAGCTTGCTGCTGTGGCAATGTTTTGAGGCACGTCCTCCTCTGCAACGCGAACGAGCATCACCTCCTCGTCCTCGACACAGACAACCTCCACCAAGACGGCTACCACCCGGACAAGCGCCACCATCACTGCCACCACGACGGCCACCACGACGGCCACAACGACTGCCACCATCACTGCCACCACGACTTCCACCACGACTGCCACCAAGTCCTGGAACCTTGACGGCATGTCAAGGATGACGCGGGGTCGGTACCTTGAAACGTGAAGACGGGGTCTGTGTTGGAATCAGCTGAGGACGTCCACAAGTACAACAGGAACGCGAAGCGTCACGACCACGAGCAGCACCACGCCCGCTGGGCCCGCTCCCACCGCCGCGCCCAGTGGCGACGGAGGCCTTTTCAGCGTCTGCTTTGTGCGGTCGGTGAAGTCCCTGACTTGAGGAGCCTCCACCTCTGAAGCCTCGGCCTCGGTCATCTCCGGCACAAACTCTGAGAGCACTGCCAGCACTTCGGGCGGAACGGGCTCTGAGAGCGCCAGCACTTCGGGCAGCAGCGGCTGGAGCGCCGGAGAGTTTAGCAGCACCAGCAGCGCCTGGAGCGACGGAGACCTGCAGTGGGGCTTCGAGGCCGGCTGGTGATGAATGAAATTCTGCAAACATGTTTTTATTTTTGCTCATTTGTCCCCCTCCTGCAAAGTGGTCTTTGAACAGGAATGGGAGTTTGACATGAATGGTGCCAAGCCATCGAGATACCTGAAGGGGCTCGTCTTCGGGCCCTTCGCCTTCATCACCTTCTCACCCTAGTTAGGTTGGGGTCGTCCCCAAGAGTCAGCTAGAGCTGCCAGAGTGAGTCGCTAGTCGCTGGGTCTCAGCCCGCCACACCAGCTGGTGGGGAGGCCGGGAGGGGTCGCCGCGGGATCCTTTGCTGCGCCGCGGCCTAGCCCTTTATATATGCCACCACACGCGTGGCGCTGAACAAAAGCAGCTCCGCGAATCACCGAGCTCCATGCGCGCGTGCGCGCTGCTCTCGGGGCAGCGCAGCCTCTGATCTAAACCCTAAACCCTATAAACCCTATACAAGCCCGAAGCCCCAGCCCCCCCATAAACCAGCCTCCCCGTGTTGAAGATTTTGCATGGCGAAAAGAAGGGGCGGCGACTGCGAAGCAGTCGGAGCTCTCTCGCCGCGGATCTCGCTGAGGGTCGCTGAGTCGCAAGGGGGACGCCGAGTGAGAAAAATGGCCTCCGCCTTCCCCCTTCTCCTGCAGGGCTTTTTTTTTGGACCCTTAAGTTCCCGCTGCTGGCACTCCGCTCTTTGTTGCGACTCTCTTGTCGGCTATCAGGACTCTTCCATTCAAAAGGGTTCGGGGGGGAGGCCTCTCTCCTCGAAGCCATGGAAGGCGCGGCGGAGCCGAAGCCGCCGCCTGGCGAGGCGCCCTTGGGATGGAGGCGGAGGCGGCGGGGTGCTTGGAGCTCTCGGCCCGCCTGGCGCTCACAGGAGCGCGAAGATACAACACGCGAGTGACGGGAGCGGTGCGTCTCTGTGTGTTTCTTCTTCTTCAGAGCTGTGTTACTGTTACGTTGTGTCCTGTGGAGGCGAGGGGCTCGGGCGGTTCCGGGTGCCTCGCGGCGAGACTGCCTCCGGCTTCGGCCGGCACCTCGCGCAAGCCACAGGTGGAACTGGAGTTGTCGCCCCACTCCCTAAACCCCCCTGCCCCCTCGGCTGCGCCGTACCTGCGGCACGCCGGCTGCGGCAGGTCAGGTCGTCGACTTCCGGCTCGTCCTTGAGGCGGGCGCACGTCCAGGAGGTGTGGGCCTCTCGTTGCATGTCCGGACTTGCAGGGCTCCGTGCCGGCGACTGGGCAGACGCTTCTGGCCGTGGCTCGGCGCTGCGCAGCCTTCTTTGCCTGCCTGCCTGCGTTTGGGAGCCTGTCCTCAGGCGGGGCTCCAGGAGTCCGAGGTGCTCGTCGTGAAGGGGGACCGCCTCATCGCCACGGCCTCACACGACGGTTCCGTGAAGATCTTCCGGGCAGACACCGGTCAGTGCCGCTCGGAGCGACATGCAGCGCCGGGCTGCCGGGCTCCTTTGAGTTGGGCGGTTTGGGGGGGGGGGGCCGCCCTGCCTGCACTGTTCTCCGAGGTCTGCAGACGCTCCTGCACGAGGATGCGGTCTTCTCCGCCAGCTTCTCCCACTCGGCACAGCAGGCGCGGAATGCCGCGGCGGAGCGCGCTCCCTCGCGCGCCGGCTGCGCTTTTGCGAAGAGCCGAGGTCCTGACGACCTCGGGGTGGACGGGACGCATCTGGAGCCTCAACGGAGACGTGGAGGCCGAAGTTCTGAAAAGAGCGGAGCCTTCCAAATTCTCGAGCCTAGTGAATGGCAGAGCAGGTGAGTCTCATCGGGCATACCGGCGCCGTGGTGTTTCTCAGCCAAATTCCGTGCAAGGAGCCGCTGACAGGAGTTTAATCAGACCTGAGACGTCAGGTCCGGCAGCTTTGCCCCCGACGATCGATTGGTGGTGACGAGCTCGAGCCACGACAACACCGGCCGCATCTGGTGCGCCCAGACCGGGGCCGCCCCGCCTGAAATTTCATGCGGATTTTTTGTATCCAGCGACAGGAGCTTGTATTGTAATGCGTTCCATGCTGTACGTGTTGCCCTTCTGCTCTCTGACATGTCAGCCTCGGCTTGACAGGCACACCGAGCTTAATGGGAGACGGACACCTCACTCTAGTTTCAGGTCTATCCTCGTTTCTAAACCCGAGGCCCAACACAATGCGACGTGAGCTTTCCAAGATCGGTTGCCAACATTGCCCTTTTAGCTGGCCGACCTCAGCCTGCTCCTTTCTTCACCTCAAACCCCCCAGAGACAGAGACCCTCTGCTCCTCGAGGCCTGTGTGCGGGTGCTGACGGGCTACGAGCTGGCGGGTGCCAGCTTCACACCCGACGGAACCATGGTGCCGAGCGCAGAGGGGGAAGCGGAAGGGCTGACCTTGCACCGCCTATACGCGAGTCTTATCTTTACAAGAGCCTGTGTGAGAGAACTGAGGTGCTGGCCGCTTGCTCCTGGGAAGACTGCGCCCTCCTTTGGTCTCTGGAGACCGGGGAGGTGCTGAGGACCTTCCAGCCCCACAGCTCCGCCGCTCACAAAGCAGAGCAGCCTCCTAAAAACCCCCCCAACAAAAGCGTAAGCCTGATCCTCCTCTCAGTGCACTTGGCATTTTTTGGCACTGCGGGCCTTCGGCTTTGACATGCTCTGGGGCCGCGGCTCTGACCTGAGGCGGTCCTCTCGGCCTCCATCTCCCCGGACGGCTTCACCGTCGCGACGGCCTGCTGGAACGGTGAGCTACACCTTTGGTGGGCCGCTTGCCGTGCCCAAAAGACTCCCCTCCGCCCCCCAGTTTTTGTGAGGGAAAGCAGAGTCAGGCCCCATATAGGGCCCTCGACTTTGTGCGTGACAGAGTTATCTGCTACGACCCGCCCTGTACACCGACACCTTGCTTACCCCCTCCCTCCCTCCCTCCCTCCCTCCCTCCCTCCCTCCCTCCCTCCCTCCCCGTGCCTCCCCCTTTCTTTCGGGTCCTTGTTAAAGAAGCTAGTTTACGTTACCATAAACAGGGATCTAAAATACTACACATAATAGGGTTTCCTTATCATCGTAATCTTAAGCAAACCCCTTGAGAAGAGCCCACCTGTAGTCTCTATTGTAGTTCCTTTCTGGGGTTACCTTTTAGGATCCTTAATATAGATTTGGTTAAATCCAAAAAAAGGAACTACAATGGAGACTATCGGCAGTCTTTCGGATGTATTTTTTTCCTTCTTGCCGCAACAGGCGGACTCCGGTCGCTGCCGGGCTTCTCTCACGGGCCCGGATCAGAAGTCGAAGGCGCCTCTTTGCATCCCTCGAGAGACACCTCTGGGGGGGGGCGGGGGGTTTCTCTTTTTTTGGGGGATTGCGGCTTTCCGGAGCCCCTATAAAGAACCTGCAGGTTCTTCGGGCCTTTTCGCTCTACAGCGGAGTGTCTTCTTTTTCTTTGTCCGAGGTGCACGTGGCTTTCTCTCCGGATGGCGGCAGCCTCGTCTCGGCGAGCAGCTCCGCTTCGACAGTCTGGGAGACTCCAAAACAAAAAGCTTCCGGACGGAGGGTTCCTTAAAAGCTAATAAGATAAGGGATGGGTTTAGGGGTTCAGGGATGTTTAGGGTTTATAGGCTTTAGGGGTGTATCTTGCGACGAGGCATCCACCACGTTGCGCAAGTCTGGGAGCTGAGCGGGGCCCTCCGATTGGAGCTGCCGCATGGAAACTCTGTGACCTCCGCTGGCTTCTCTCCGGATGGGGCCTGGATCGTCAGCAGCTCCTACGACGGTGCGAGGGCCGGTATATAGTACTGTAGCCATTTTTTTTTCGGGTCCCGTCCCGGAGCTTGTTTTTTTTTCAGTTCGAACTGCCAGGAACCGCCAAGATCTGGAATTCTCGGACTGGGGATCTTGTACGGACGCTCCAGGGCCACGCGGATGCCGTGCGCAGCGCCTGCTTTGCACGGGCCTGCGTGGACGCGGACCGCCTTTCTGAGCCCAAGACGATGCTGTCCGGTTTCGCTTTTGCCTGTCTTCTGTCCTTGGGAGGGGGGGGGGTGACGGGGGAACGGTGATATTCGGAACAGCCGAGAACAAGAAGTTTGTAGAAGTCATATCCTCATAGAGAAGCATGGCCACCACCAACATAGCTACTTGGGTCGGCTAGGGCTCTTGGGGCTCCGTTGTGCGCATGGTTTTTCAAAACAATGAGCGGGACGGTTTTGCAAAATTTCGGGCTTGGGCGTTTATTCGAGTAGTGGGTCAGTAGGGCTCAGGGTTCGGGGGTTCGCAGTTTAGGCCTTTGGTAGGCTTCCGGGCTTTTAAAGGCTTTGCAACGAGGGTTCTTGGCTTTAGGGTTCAGGGTTTTCGTTTTTTTTTTTGGGGGGGGGGCTCCTGAGGTTCCGGGTTCGCGGTTCAGGGTCCCAGGTTTTCGGGTCCGGAACTTCGCTTTCTTTCTCCTTCTCAGGCTTCTGGGGTTAGGGTTTTGCTAGTGGTAGTAGTGGTAGTCGTGGTCCGGACACCATGTGCACGTATGAACCGGCACCACGTGCACATGTGAGCCGCAGACCGCGTGAACGTATGGGGATCCCGCCCAGTAGGATCTCATCAGAACCCCGAGACCTTGAACAAACCAAACTGCAAAGGCTGCACACATCCAAGAAACCCGAAACCTTGACCCCAAACCCTGAACCCTCAACAATCCTATGCCCTGAGAGCCTAACAGTTTGGCTCGAGACAGCAGGGCGACGCCCATGCCAAGGCGACTTGGTTTGTGTTGGGCGAGGAAGCATTGGTGCTAGAAACGAAAACGGCGCGTCCCGACAGAGGCCTTGGCTCCAATGGGGCAGCCAGGGCCTCAGAAACGGTGTTGAGACGCCGCCCCCAACTTGATTGCCATCATCGTTTGATTGTGGCTGTCTCTTAACAGCACATTTTGTTGGTTCAGCTCGTCTCGTGTTGCTTCGCTGTTCTGATCGTGTTATCCAGGAAGAACTGCTGCCAATGCGATGAGCACACGGAGAGCAATGAGGCCAAGGGTGCCAAGGGCGGCGTCCTTCTGAAACAGAGCTTCGCCCCTGTGAGGCGACCATCCACAAGAGCTTGCCGGCCATGACGGACGAGGACCCTGACGAGGCGAATGCGCCCCTTGGTTTCGGAAAGCCAGGGACTCCAAACAAAAGACACTTCCACTGCGCAGACTGCGCTGGGCCTGGGTGCAACTGAGGAAGTTCGTGGAGACGGCCGAGGTGGGCGACGGCAGCACCGGAAAGCCCACTGAGGGATTTTTTGCCTTGCCGCCTCGCTTGCCGGCGAGCAGTCAGCTCGGCAAGGAGTCGAGCTACTTCGATCGAGAACGAGCACAGCTCTCCGAGATGCAGGCGAAAGAGCCGCTTTTTTTTCTCTATGCTGTTGCTTGGGGCACTTCGCAGACTGCGCAATACGGCTGCAGGCTGGCGCAGCCACCGTACGAGATGGAGAGCCTTTCACGCGGCCCTGCAGCATAACGTTATGGAATCATGGGCAACTCTGGTCAAACTGGGCGAGCTTGGAGCCGGTTCCTGCTTTTTTCTTACTTCTTTCTCTTCGGCCTTTTTTTCACTGTTTACATCCTAGGTTCCGATCCGGCGCCGTCTACAAGGCTCCCTGGACTTCCGGGGTAAAGATCTGTTCTTTATGCCTTCGGTTCCTTGGCAAAAAGCGCGCTAATCTAAGGGCCAATGGAAGAACGGCGTCCGCGAGGGCATCGGAAAACAGACCTGGCCGGACGGGGCGAGTTACTTCGGCCAGCGGGGGGGCTCAGAGATCTCAGCACTGCCAGCACCGGTTTGCTACAATTATCAGTATAATAACCCCTTACTTCACTGTGCGGAAGGCCTTTTTTGGCCATTCTTTTGGGGGGCACCTTCTTTTAGGTCTCTCCTCCTCTCTCTCTCTCTCTCTCTCTCTCTCTCCCTCTCTCTCTCTCTCTCTCTAAGCACCCCGGCTCGAATCGGCTCTACTAGCAGAGCTTGTACATACTGCCGGG